CCCGCGTGTGGGGGTGGGTGCGGCGGTCCCCCAAGATGGGTGGGTCCGCAGAGCCTCAGGGCCTTTCCGGAGCCCTGGCACACAGGACAGCAGAAGCCACAGAGCCAGGGCCTAGAGACCAGGGCTTCCTTGCGGTTCCAGAGAAGATTTTAATAATTATTACGCACGAAGGACACATGAGGACAAGGCCCGGGCCTCTCAGCTGGCCGGATTGCGGCCAGAGGGGGAGTGTGGGCTAACGCTGAGGATGGGGGTACGGTGAGCGTCTGTGTGTGCCGCAGAAGCCTCAGTCCTAAGTGTCCCGGGAACAGCCAGGGGAGTTGGCCCCACCTTTGTTCCCATAGCCGAGGGCTGACTAGATGCTATAAACTTCCAGAGAGAACTCGGCGGGGTGACGCCCTGAATCAATGCCGGGTCCCCCCTTCCCCCCCGCGGGGCTTCTTGTGCGCCCACTCCCAGTCCCGCTCTGGTTCCACGTAATATCAGAGAGGTTCAGGGCAGCGATTTACAGTAAATGTTTGGTGACCGGCAAATAATGTGACATTGCTCTGCATTTGCCAGCTGGCTTCTGGGCAGGCCTACCCGCCCTCAGTCCCAGGAAAGGGTCCATGGAGCTAGGGACCCTGGGGTACCGACGGGATAAGACCTCCCTTTCTCCCTGGAGCTGCCTGTTAAGAAGTGGCACCACAGGAAAGCCTCGCCAGAAGGCGCTTCCCAGGCAGCTCCCTCGCCATAAAAAGCCAGACTCCAGCCGAGGTCCTGACCCTTTCCAAATATACATTCCCTCGCCCGAGGCCACCCACTCCAGCCCAGGCTTCGGGCTGTGCAGCTTCCTCACAGGCTGGCCGGGCCCAGCGCCTCCCGTCAGAGTAGCGGGAGTCAGGGAGCCCCAGTTTCTTTTGTCTCTGCCAGGTCACCAACCTGTCTGCTCTCCTGCTTTTGGACCCTCGGCTTCTGAGCGCCCTGAGCGCACTAGCACATTTGCAAGGCCAGGGATGCAACTGTGGAGGATTTTGTTTTTCTTAACGACAGTTCTCCATCACCTACTGAGCTCCCCGCGGTTGCTCCGGGGTGGGACGCTCGAGGCTGTAGGCACCAGGGCACGTGTGCCGGGACAGCCCGCCTGGCCAGGGCGGAAGGACTAGCGGCCAGCGCATGCGCACGTGCGGCACCGCTCAGTCCCCTGTGGTCTGCTGTCCCGATAGCCCGGCCCCCTACGTTGCGGCCAAAGCTTAGAAGCCCAGATAACCTCGAGCCTCGCTGGAGGACGCAGAGCTAGCGAGTGGGGTGCGCGGGCCAGCCTAGGCCTGTTGCAGCCGCTGTCGGTGCTCAGCAGCACAGCAGCTAAGTGGTCCCAGTGTCGTACAAGGAGAGCGAGCTCACTGGCAGGCACCTCGGCCTGCAAGTGCAGAGATCAAAAGGGGCTGCTGAGAGTGGGGCGTCCGCTGTGTATGACCCCTGACCCTGGAGGAAGGGCGGGAGCCAGGGAGTAGGCTGCGGGGCCTGAGGTCAGCCCGCGGTCGTCGGCCTCCCAGCACAGACGCTCTGGCCGAGGAAATGGGTGAAGCTCTGCCGTCGTATTCGGAATGAGGGCCTTGGAAGGTCTTTGGGGATAGAGTGCACTCTGGGGGAGCCAGGGCGCGTCTAAGGCGGCGGGTGGGTAGCCCTCCAGCTCTGGCTTGGGAAGGCAGTGGGGGCCTCGCAGTCCAGGGACAGCGAAACGGACAGAGGTCCAGTCGCCGGTAATAGTCCTGATGGCACACCCCCTCAAAAAGTGCTCGAGGCTCCCCTGGTGTGCGCTGGGGAGGGAAGGAAGCTGGGAGGTCGTGGGGAAGCCTCGGCCTCCAACCTGTTTGTGGTAGGGTAGCAGCACCCCTTCTGACTCCCAGAAGAAATCATCCCAGACCCTGTGTGTTGGAAAAGGACACTGTGGATGGGGGGGAAACCCCCGACTGCTGAGAGTGGGGCAGCTCCCAGAGAGGCTTTATGTCCCAGTTGTCGCTGTTTGTGAAAATTCTTGCCATTCCAGTGATTAAACCCCACAATTTTTGGAGGTGCCGGTGGCTTAGATAGATCTGTTTGTAGGACACGTCCACACACACAGACATGCGATCTTTTTGTTCAACCCGGGTGGGGGCTCTCCGCACACACACAGTCCCCATGCCATCTACTTTAGGCTGCAGTGCAGGTCGTGAAAAATATATGATGTGTGAACTTGGACTTACTGGGCTTAAAACTGAATACCTGGTTGGCATTCCCATATACAAACAAGATGCCTGGGGGTGCTTTGAGGCTTTTACTAGGGGCTTAGAGAGTTATTTGTAAACAATGCGTTTAAGGTTATTTTGAAATGAAATTTTAAAGTGTTGCTCCCTGCTATGACCTTTAATAACATATGGAAGGTTTCATGCAGCAGCAATGACCAATGGGCAGCCAAGGGTTTTATCCGGTCTTGATGGTTGGTGTTGGTAAAGGCAATTCAAGGAGACGAGCAAATAAATCATGAAGCTAAAATCGGGTTTCCTAAGGGCAATCTTGCATGGAGTGGTACCTTCCAAGCACTTCTGCATGTCCCTTGAAGGTCCTGCAGCCTGCCAGGCAGGCCTTTGCTTCCAAATAGCTGTGGAGCTATGTGAGGTTTATTATGCGGGACCCAGCTCCCTCTTAACCCTTTAAGACAAAGGGCAGCAGACACAGCCCAGGACAGAGTCTGGCAGGCAGGTCTGATGGAACATGAGGTTGCGGGTGGCGGGGGTGGCCCAGGTATCCATGCACCTTGTAGCAACAAGGCGTTTGACTGCTTTGCTGTTATACTTGAGTGTACTGAAAATTTAACGTTCTTAGTTTTTACTTTAAAAAATCAAGGTGGAAGACATTTTATCACATCTAAAATGAATAGCCAAAGCTGGCAGAGCAGGAAAAAAAGGGCAAATAAATTCACTGAAATTGAGTTGAGGTTCAAGATAGAAGAAAGTCTTTAATAAGAATTGTCTTGAAGGATGTCCAAATGAAATTCACAGCACAGAAAGAAAGAAAGCACAGAAATACTCAAGCAAGTCTGTTCTCCTTTTCTACTTTTACACACACACACACACACACACACACACACACACACACACACACACCCAGAGGCCTAGAAAACAAACGAGCCTCCCCACTCCTGCTCACCCCCCTTCCGCCCCCCCATTGAGGGTGCAGGGATAGAGAGAAAGTTGCAACCTAAAATACTTTTTGTGTCCTTCAGACACTGATGCCCCAAGTCATTCTGAGAAGAATAATTTAAAATTATAGCTCCACTGAAGTCCCAGTAAACCCCTACCTAGAATCTGCCCTGGTCTTCACTGAAGAGCTTATTATGTCTTCGGGCGAACAAGCCACAAAATGCTGAACTGAATGGGGCCACTGCAAGCCCTAAGGCCCCTTGAATGGCCTCTATGCCTGGTGTGGGAAGAGGTGGGGGGTTCAGGCGGTCAGGGGAGGAGAGGGGGTTCCTGTCCATCAGGGTCAAAGCTAAAGGGAATGTGTGTGAGTGTGTTTATTTGTGAGATTTGTGAGTATGTGTGTGAGAGTGTGTGACAGCAGGTTTGTGAGTTGTGTTTGCAAGTGAGTGAATGTGTGTGAGTGTGTGAGATGGTATGTTTGTAGGTGTGTATTTGTGTTTGTGAGTGTTTGGATGTGTGTATTGGAGTCTGTGAGTGACAGTGTGTGAGTATGTATGTGTGAGTGTGTGTGTATGTGTGCCCACCAGCCTGCCTAGTCCTTCCTGGAGGCCCAGTCTGCCAGGGACCATCTGTTTCCAATTAGCAGCATCCCGATTGGGAGAAGGCCCGTCCTGGGGCAGCTTCTGAGAAGGGGGGTGCAGCTCAGGCCACCCCAGTTCTGCTCCATCAAAGCTGAGGCTGGACCTGGCCAGCATGCTGTCGCTGCAACTCACAGCCACACAAAGAGCCCTCTTTCCTGCATCCAGCCTTCAGAGCCTGGGTCCTCCCCCAGATCATAAACCTGCTGGTGAAGACATTCAGAAATAGTTTGCCGGCACTCACAGGAGCATGTGCAAAGGCTGGAATTCCATTTGCTATAAAGTTTTATTTTATTTTCCTTGGAGGCGGAGAGAGGGGGAGAAGAAGAGTCCTGACCTAATTTGTTCTACAGCAAAACACTGTATTTCATGCAAGGTATCCACCTGTACACAGATCCTTGCTTGCTGTCTGTGGGTTCCATATGCCTGTGTGTCCACCTGCCTGAAGCTGTGCAGACACAACGTCCATGGCTCCGGAGCACATGCCTGCGGTGAAAGGCAGGCCGCCTAAATGATGCACTCAGTAAAGCTGGATTCTGGGGTCTGAGGCCCAGCCTTAAATCTCTTTATTATTATATAATTTCTAATTAATGCTGATGTACTCGAAGGGCACAGTGTCTGCCTGGCATCTATTAGGCACTTAATGTAAATTGATTGAATGACTAAATAAAAATTAGATTTAAAAAGTGATTTAGTACTGAGAAGGGGCTGGAAATAAGTATTGTGTAAGATTCTAGACCACATGGAAAGGCATGGGCTCAGAGACCTCTTGGTAACCCAGGGGCTTTGGCATGGAATGTTCCAACAATATTTATGTACCTTCAAGTTTCTTCTTCTAACCCCCCTCTATTTCTGAAGTCTTCTTTTCAGATGATTGGAGCCCCGTGGGTTCTAATTATAGTCAGCAGAGACCGGAGGAGATGTGAATGCCTCCTTTCTGCAGAAACTGGGCTTCCAAATCCTCTGCATAGAGTGGATTATTGTCACCAGGAAGGAGAAAGAAATGTCCCAGGCAGAGACTTAGGAGGATGCTCTGTCCAGATTAGACTCAGGCCTGGCAGGGGTCTGCCAGAAGGGGTTCTATGTAAAGGGAGTGGGCCTGAGGGAAGCGATTTCCCTCCAAGGCAAGGATTTGGGTGTTTTTGTTTTAGGGCCTCATAGCGGCCTTTATAATTGGGAGGAAACATCGATGGCTACTTACTGCTGGTTCATAGAAAGGTCATTTTTAATCAGAAAAGAGAAACACCATTTGAAAGCCCCACACTTTCAGTTGTCTACTGACATAATTTCAAGTAAAGTGAATATGTGATTAAAACATCTTGTTGATTTCACAAAGCCATTCAGAAAAGGCCTCGACAAGAGGAAAGTGGGCCGAACCCGGAGCGCCAGGTCCCGGCTGCTGCAAACCTCAGCGACCCCAGTCCTGCGGGCGGGACCACCTCGCAGGGGCGGCGAGGGTCCTGGGCAACCGTCGGAAGGACTAGCGCTCCTCGCCCCTCCCAGGACCACGCCTGCGGCTCCTCACCGGCTGGTTCCGCCCGGGGGACGAAAGCCAGCGGGGCGGCTCGGGGCTCAGCGGCCGCGCTCAGGCGTTGGGGTTGTTCCTCATGAGCTCCACGTCGGCGTCCACCATCTCCTGCACCAGCTCCTGGGATCCAGGACGGGGTGGGTGGGTG